GGGGGCTGCTGAGACAAAAAGATTGCTGTTAAGTTGTTTTCACAATTTTCCTTCTGTCAGTACAAAATTAGATATCATCCTAGAAATCTAAATAAGCATTGTTGTGTTCTGGTTTTGTAAAATATTTTCATTTTATTATTTGTGAAAACTAGAGGCTTTCTGATATCTTGGATTTTTTTTTCTTTTGGCAGTGTCATTTTAATTGAATCAACAAGTTGTATCATGGATCCTGAGGCACTTGATCACATCAGCAAAATAAGGGAAGGAAAAATTAAAAGGTAAGTCTTTACTAGACTGTGCTCCTATTAGACAGAAACCCAAAACCTGACATAGGATAAGGTAGTCTGAATGGTTTTTAGTTCACTTCAAGCAGGACAAAGATTCTTAATTCATCTGGTCTCAAATAAAACATTCTGTGGAGCTCCACCCTGATGTGAGGTCTTGGAGCTCACTGCATTCAGGAGGGCATTATGCTATGTATACCTTCTTCATGTAATGCTTTGTTGAGAAGGGAAAATACCAGATTCAGGGATAGACTGACTTTTGCAATCTGTTGCTTCAGTTATAGACTTCTGGATGGGTGGAGAGAGAATGATAAATGGAATGGAGTAAATATTTACTTCCACTTCAATCATGCTTCATTGTTATCAAGGATTTTTGGGGTGGTTTTTGCTTGCCAAGAACTGATTTCTCTCCCCCCCCCCCAATAATCCTTATTTCCATTTTTCCTTAATTTTTATTCATTTGTCCATCTTTCCATTCTTCTTCTTTCTCATCTTTTCATTTCCTCCCTTTCTTGAATAAAATATTTCAAGCTTTTATTTTGTTTAAAAACAATATCTTCTCAATGTTCCTATTCATTGTAGTACCCCACTGTATTTGGTTCTCTTCCTCCATTCATTTATTCTTCCCATGTATGAACACTATTATTAATCATTATTATTTTTAACTATGTAAATGATTTAATATATATCTTTATGTGTATCTTTCTCTTATGTTTTGCCTTGTAGGTAATATTACATCCAACCATGTCATTTACTGTAGATCCCAATTAATAGGTATATTACATTAGGCACCAGAAAGAGTGGAGGTGGGTGGAGTGCAGTGATTTAGTCATATTGTGCTGGCAGATGATTATTGGGGATGCTGCAAATGTCACCTTTTGCAAAAGTATTTTGATCAGCTGCTATGATCAAAAGACCAAATTTCTTGAAACCCACTGCATTAATTTCCATAAAATTTGGTTGGCTATATCTCTTCATGAAGGTCTAACTTTCTTGCAAATTTCATTCCTTCTGCTGAAAATGAAGACAGTAAAGATGTTAAACATTTATGTTTCTTGATTACTAAATAACAGGTGGTTAAAGCTTCAGTTTTTCCAGTTCATACTCTAGAATCAAAAATAAGGAGGTGAACTACCTCTGTTTTTTGAAATGAGGATTTTGCCATGAATTGGGCAGTCATGATGCAACTCTAAATTCTACCCTTATTAAAATATAGGGCAGAGCTGCATCTCTATTTTAGAAGCAGAGATCTCCTTGTTCTCCAAGCCCTTTGTGCATCTCCAAAGTTTGTGGAGCAGATCTGATGTGTGTGGGGTAGAGGGGTATATTGAAGAATGGGCAATGGAAGTTCTTTTTCACCTTTTCCAGTTTCTACTTTGCTATGAGATTAGAAGCACTGGATGTAATCCATAATTATTTGAGGCATATCTTTTATATAACCCTTATAATAGCTATGGTAGCAAAAATTACAGTAGAATTTGGAACTAAGAAATACTATAAACCTCTAATTAAAACATATATGTCAGAATGAACATGTGTATTGCCATATACATGACTTCCTCTATATAGCTTTAGAGACTAAAAAGAAGATTTAGTTTCATTCCAGCGGTGTGTTTTTTTTTAGGAGAGATTTTCTTTGTTGAATAATGGTAATTTTACTATTTATATTGTGTAACATTTGTTTATGGATTATAGATTTCTATAAATGGTAGGACTACTGAAAATATTTAAAAGGGGTTATTTACACAATGTCCTGGCATGAGTGTAGCACCCTGCCTCAAGTTTTAAAGCAGTCATGTCCTCTGGAAGACACAGCTACTTCAAAGGGTTTCCCTGTTTTCTCTGGGTGTACATGCACAGATAAGACTTTCACTGGAATTACTAGTAAAGTGAAGCTGTCTACACAGGTGCATGCAAAAGGAGTAGGGGAAAATTTCCAAAATAGCTATATTGAGTTTTTGGAGGATGCAACTGCATTAATGCTTCAAGGAACAGTGCTTTATCTGTGTCAGTATGAACTGACAAGCCTAATAAGTGGCACTTTTATTCCACAACAGTTATTTTCTCTGTAGTTCCACCAGCTGACTAACTTCTCTCCAGGTTGCCTTGATCTTAGCCTCCAGGGGATGTATGTACTGCTGTTCTTCTTGATTGTGTAGCCAAGCATTTCTAAGATTACAGTGGCTGTAGTGTATACCAGTTCATTGGTTTGAGTTATGGTGGTAGTAGGGATTGTCATGAGGCCCCTATTGGCATCTTTCGGCATACTGTCTGATGGTACTTCTCCACTGAGCCTTGGTAATCGGCCTCGAGGGTTGACTATAGCTAGTTTATCCATAATATTATGCCTGATATCAGCTGCTGTGCTCTGTAATGGAGGGGGTGGCAGTGATGTTCCAGCTTCAAGTGTTGGCTGCACATCCAGTTGTTCTTCCAAGTCTGCTTGAGTCTGGGTTGTTATGTGGAGTTGGTCTATCTCAAGTTGTGAGAGCAGCTTCCTCTTCACTATGCTGAAGTGTTGGGTAACTAGCTGTTTTTCAGTTAGTGTGGATGTAGGTCTTCTGTCCATTCATAGTTCCCTCATGCATTTGATATATCCCCTCTCATTAGGTCTACTGTTGTAGTAGCATTCCATCAATTCCAGGTTCTCTTGTCTTGTCTATGTATGGTTTGTTCCAGTATCCTACCTATCATCAGGTTGTCCTGTTTCCCCCACATCTGACGTGGACCTTGCTAATCCAGGTGATGTCTGAGCCGGCATGACTGTGTTAGTTCATGTCACTTTCATATTTGAGGTAGGCAGATGAAGCGTCAGGGGTCTTTGCCCAAGGGTCCCATACTGGTAAGGTAGGTACCAACCAGCCAGGATTGTAACCCTGGTCTCCTGCGTCAAAGGTGGTGCTCTAACCACTACACTATTTAGCCACCTGATTGATTGATTGATTGATTGATTGATAAATTTTATATGGAAAAAAATGAGGCTTTCTGAGAGGAATTTGCTGTACTAACTGCACTGCAGATAAATATCAAAACTGCTGGCTAGTAAAGTAGCATGTTTGAGTTACTGCCCAGGTAGAAGGAGGCAGACATTGGCAAGGTAGGCTGATATGTGTGGAGAAAAATGCATTCAAAGATGACTGTCAGCGGCAACAAGTGAATGTAGCCATGATGTGGTGGACACTAAGCTACAGGCAGGTTGGTAGAAACAGCCATAACTGTGTTGCTGCAGAAGGGACTGCACCAGGTAGGTAGGCAGGTAGGCAGGCAGGCAGACAGGCAGGCAGGCAGGCTGCTATAAGTGGGCCAGCAAAGTATCATTTAGAGTTAAGTGACTGTGCTAGATAGAAACAAGTGTTGGCAGGCAGGCTGGTAGGTGGACCAGCTTTGGAGGGGCAAACTGGTGCTGTTTAACATTTCAGAAACTATGCCCTGTGGAGGCAATGGTAAGTGGGCAGCTAGATAGGCTTTGGAGCAAGGATGTTGACTAAATAGCTGGCACAATGAGTTTGAGTGAGTGCACTACACAGAGACAAGTGTAGGCAGGAAAGCTTTAGTGGAAGGAGCAGCAAAATGTGACATATATACCATTCACAAGACCATTATTATCAGCCACACTGCTGGGTTGTCAAGGCATGGCTGGCATGGAAAAAGGCAGGTGGGTAGGCAAATATGCTGGTGGAGACCTCCCTGTTTGTAAAAGTAGTAAGCTTGTGGGGTCACACCCATAATCAGTATTGTCCTCTTTGGGACCATTCTGGATAACTGTATACTTCCTTTGGTATGGTGAAACAGATTTGTTTTCTTTTTTTAGCTTTCAACCCCTCACTCTGAAAAGAGCTCTGTTCGCATCCTTGTTTGTTGAAAAGCTTCTTGCAATTATTTTATAGCCAGCTTTTGACCATGAAACAGGACAGTTTGTCTGCAACCTAAATATACCCCACCAATTATAGCAGACTTAGTTTTTACAAGCTTAGCTGGAATTTAGCATAGCATCATCATGATTTCCGGAGCAGGATCACTCTGTCCATATGTAAATTCTTAGACAGCAACTCTCTGCTATTCATTAAAGCAACATGACTTCATTCAGGCTTCCGTATGAATCTGAAAAAAATGGTACAATTTCTTTAGGAATCACTTTAGCTTTAATGATGTGCTTCCTTACAACAGTGGCATGTTTTTCAGGCTGGTGCAGAAGCTTAAAACAAGTTGACCACTTGAATGTGTAACTGAAAGGTGCTATGTTCATGGTCATGCCTAAAACACTTCTCAATAATTTCTATTTACTAAAGTTTTATTTATTTATGAATTCCTCCTCAAACCGGACTTTGGGCAATGTACAGATACTAATTTTTAAAGTTTGCACAATCCTGATATTTAATTTTATACTGCATTATACATATTTCTGATGTTATGTAATTCATTGTTGCATCAAATCTGTGCTGTCAAGAAAACCTAAACTGCTATTCTGAATATAGCCATGTTAAAATAAAATTGCCTTTAACAACTGAAATTTCAGGTTATTTCATTGCATCATATCTGTTTTTTTTTCTTTCTGCTTAGTTCTGAAGCAGATATCCCAGAGTGTTCACGTGATATGATAGGTGTATGTGGATTTTATAATCAGGAAGAAAAATCCAATGCTGGTAAATGTTCTCTTTTTGGTTTCTTATTAGTTTTCCAGAATATGCATGAAATTTTTGCAAATTATTCTTTTTAACTGGTAAGACATTGTAACTCCCAATCCAATTAATTAGTTTTCATTTACATTGTACATTTCACTACTTAAAAAAACATTAATATTGCAATGTTTCAGATATCTGCCAATCATTTCTTAACTTTCATATTGCATATAAACCTCTCAATTATGTTTTGACAGCTAATGAGTCCAACTGCTTGCAAGAGTTCTTTAGTCCATTGGATACAATATTTCTGGACCAAGAGAACTCTACTACCCTTGATCTCTGCTATCTTCCTTTTAAGATGGGAAAACGTTATTGTGTGATAATTTTGGTCAATGAGCAGGTAAATTTCATTGAATGCTGAAATGGATTAAATCCATCATGGTGACAACTAGAATGAAAAAAATAATGTGGTGCAATTTAAACTTAATTTCAGTGAAGTGGAATGGTAATGTCAAGACTAATAGCATTGAACAATATGCTGTATATATAATAACATAGTATATAATATTTGATTATAATTCTCTTACTGTTTGTTTTGGGATTTTGATAAAATTATGTTTTTCCATCAAAGAAAGTATTACTATATTTTTACTACTAGAATTCTTTCCCCAGAAAACATGCCCCCATATTAAGCAGTTAGTTAAAACTTTCATAAAGAGCTAGTGGAGGAGGTCAAGTTTTTTCAAATTTTATAATGACACTACTAATTTACTGGATGTAAAGACTGCCTGTAGTTGGATTATAAGTGGAGTCCTTGGTGCTCTCTGAGCTTGGTTGTTTGATTGCTGACATTTCATTATCCAACAAGGTAACATCATCAGTGCAAGGGAGTGTAGGGTTTGTTCCCTGTTTATATATGTAGCTTCCCCCGCCAGCTACTGGCATGGATGCAGTACATAAAAATATACAAGCCTGGTATACCTGTTCATCCAATTGTATAATTACCAGGGACCCCAACATACAACATAGGGAACGAACTTACAAAAAAGCTTGGAGATCTCACAGAAGGAACAAATATTCTATCAGCTCCCCACTACAGTGCCTCCAGAAAATCAAGGACCTAAAAATAGATGAAGATGAAATTATGATTTCATTCAACATCACAGCACTCTTTACATCCATAGACCCAGAACTAACAAAAGAAACCATGGCAGCAGTACTACACAACACACCCGACCTAACCAAATACACTTTTTAGATTTTTTTTTATCCCGCCTTTCTTATTTTTATAAATAACTCAAAGCGGCAAATATACTAATACTCCTTCCACCTCCTATTTTCCCCACAACAACAACCCTGTGAAGTGAGTTGGGCTGAGAGAGAGTGACTGGCCCAAAGTCACCCAGCCAGCTTTCATGCCTAAGGCAGGACTAGGACTCACAGTCTTCTGCTTTCTAGCCTGGTGTCTTAACCACTAGACCAAACTTGCATACGTTCTTGTATTTCAGATTGGGGAATTTTTGTATTTGGTGGAAGGAATATGTGGCTTGCCACTGCCTTCAAGCCTAATTCCAATGGACAGCCCAAATGTTCTTTGCATTAATAGCATATGTGAAGGTAAGGGGCTACAGACATTAAATTTTGGGGTGTAATGAAGCTTTTACAGTAGCAAGAAATAAGATAATGTGCTGTTTGATGTATGTATGTGTTCTTCAAATAATCATTTTTTAATTATAAAGTACTTATTGCCACATGCCAACTTTGTGCTTGTACAGTTAACCAGAGACTAGTTTCATGTATTATTCTTACTATTAGTTCAAGCCTCTTTTCCAGTTGTCTTAGCATAGGTGCCATATATAGTCGTGAATACTACTGCAAGCAGTAAAAGCTATTTGTGACTATTACTTATGTAAGCACTGTTTCAAGTGAATGATCCTAAACATGAACATATTTGGGAAATGTGCCTTGTTCAAGCCACCTGAAATAATTTTGAAGTTATAGAAACAGCTTAAAAATATTATTCTTGGGAAATAAAAAGGAGACCTAAATACTTCTAAAGATATTTATATTAGACTAAAGTTTAATTTGGTTTACCAAGATTAAATTGGCTTTGTTCAATTAATCTTTTCCAGGAATGCTGACATTAGAATTTATTGGTGGTTGATAATGACCACAAACTGGTATCCATAGAAGCAATAGGCAGAGAGAAAGAAAGGTTACTGTACTAATCAGTAATTGTAATTTTCAAAGGTAATGACTTGTGTAGCCTTCATTTCCTTTGCATGGATTCATACAACGAATTGTCTTGAAATTGCTGCAGTTACTATACAGGTGACCTTTCTGTCATGAATTGTGATTCAAGCATATTCTAATGCGAAAAGCAAGGGTGAAAGGGAAAGATATAAGCAACTGAATGCAGATTTCCAGAGAATAGCAAGGAGA